GTCATACTGATTTATCTACTTTATTTGCTTACTCTGTTAATATATTATATGATCCCCTAAATGGCCCCATTACCTTTCCTTTAGGAGGCTGCCCCTTCTCATACTATAAATCTCCCTGCCTGAGTAATTGGAGAAACACTACTCTTCCAGTTATATTAGATTTGTGTTCACTTACAAAAGAAAAAGAGACAAGACTAACCCCTTTCAAGTCTGCTTTGGGTAAATGGCTTCAGAAGGAAAACAAGAATACTCCGCTCGACCTTTCAATATGTGTCGTAGTGGATGGAGTCCCTTCAGCAAGGGAGTTGGTGATGCAGCCTGTTTTGTGGCCCTGACACATTGGCAAAGATCCCTTCTGTGCATTCCTTGCTAAAAGTAAGATGTCATCCAGAGTTTAGATGTGCTGCACCAACCTTAAAACAATCTGACTCGCATCAGTGGATTTTACAAGTTCCAAATGCAGTTGCAGCTGCCTCATCACCATTTTCTCTGCAGAATTCTCCATACAGGAAAAAATAGCAATGTTTGGGGAGGTAATCAGCATCAAGGGGTTTTTGAAGTATGGGTTTAATCATAAACAGTTTATGAAGATGCTAGCTTCATTTCAGAGAGCAAAATCTGATGATTCTCAGTTCCTCTGAAGAGTGCCTGTCCCGAAGTTTTCAGTACCCAAGATAAGCAGGACAAACAGAACATCTAAGATGAGATCTTCACTGAATTGCGAGTGAAGTCATCTGCCTCATGGGAAGTCATTAGAAAAATACATTTTTGCAGGTACTCTTTTGAAAGTATTGGTCAGTGCCCTAACCCTAGGTGCAAAAGTCCTTGTGTTAGTGCTAAAGAGAATTTTAAAGCCTTATGTTAAATCTTACTGTTTGACATTTTGTGCATTTCTGAAAGAGTCCTTTGCAGCTTATGAAAAGGATGGATTTTTAAACAGAAAAATCATCTAAATAGGATATGGCATAAGAAATGTGCTAATCATCTCCAAGCCAAGAGATGTCATAAAAAGTGTCAGTGTGATGGATGTGGTGGCTAATTGAAGAAAAATATTTCCATTTCAGCCATAAGACAGCAAAGAAGAAGAAACATATGGAAATTCAGAGGTGAAAGTATATCCCAGAAATCAAAAGATCAATACAAAATCTGCAGATTGAGACTCGTGATAAAAATCAAGTTAGGGAAATTAATTAATATGAAGCTAGAAGTGACCTATGTCATATCTTGAGTAGTTTTTAACTTTAGCTGGAGTTAAAACGTACCTTTTCTAAAAGCTTCCAATCTCAGCCTGAGTTTCCGTCATACTGATAAATATTTTTTTTCTCCTGATGGGTTGCTTTCACTTTGTGCTGTATTTCTGGTCTGAAATTTTCTTCCACTTCTTAACATTAGACAGTTCAGACTTCTGTTTCCACAGGTGAAAAACCCTCCACCTTCTATACAGGGGTTTAGACTTGCTTCAAATCACCTCTTAACCTTCTTTTGGAAAAAAAGGAAGTAGAACAATCTTTTTAAATTTCTCCCTGTATGGCAGGTTTTCCAAATTTCAGGTTGTTCTTGTTCTCAAAACATTTTGCAGTTTACACCACTCATTTTAAAATAATTCTGCACTCAACGGTAAAACTGTTTTCCTATTTCTGTTGAGTAGCCCTCTGCTTTGCACCCAGTCTACTTCATATACAGCTGAATATCCATGATGATTCCCAAGTCTCTCCTGGAGACACTGCTTTCCAACTATTCAATTCCCAGTTCTGAAAAATGTGACTCAAATGTTTGAGTTTGCATTCAGTTGAAAACACACATCTTTTTAATCTGTTTGAGCACTGCAAGGTCCTGGTCTATTGGCTTGGGCTCTTATTTACCAGAGAAATAGAAAGGATAACCAATAGTGGTAATAGAGGAGTCAACAGAAACCCCACTGGTTTGTTTATTTGTAAATACTTTATACTCCAAGAGATTTACCCCTTTGCCAGTTTCTAATTCCCTTCCCTGTAAGCAACATCAGTTTTGTGGTAGCTTTAGGGAAGCATCCACATGAGCCTGCTCACCCATGTGTGTCAGCCTCTCTGGGTTCAAGTGAACAAAGGAGGAGGATGCCCAGAACCTCAGCAACCCTACACTTGTGAGATCAACTGACAGAGTGCACTTGACAGAAGGTATTTTGCCTACTCTGCGTTACTTCTGCACTGCAGAAAGGAATTTACCAATAAAGAAATTGTAACATAAGGAATTTCTGCCGTTAGAGGTACAAAGAAAAAGTTTTATTTCAGACAAAAGGGAGGCAGATCTCCTAAAAAAATGGTGCTAAAGGACAACCTGAAAGAAGTGCATGTGCTCATTTTCTCATGTGGTCTCTAAATTTGTAGCAAACTCAGAAGCCTTGACATGCCAGAGGCACTTGGCACAACTTGGATGCAGTGTACGTAATACCCTGTTTATGATGCTGGTGCTGCTACTATTAAAAGTGACTTTTTTCTTATTGGTGGCTTTAAGTTTGTCATCAAAGCAAAATATTTTAGAACAGCATTTAAAATGCCTATTCGACTGCTGAGTGTTGAGCACATGTTAATACCGTTTTCCCCAGATATGGTAGTTTATGATAAACGTTACCAGACTTTGTACTGTTCGTGTAGTATGCTACTAAATGCTAAAACAAATGGGCCCACTGAAAGGGTATTTCCTTTGGAGGACACAAGCTGCAGACCACCCATAGAATACGCAGAAGTAATTAAGTGTCAGGATAAAAAGATAGAGCAAAATATTAATGTTTCAGAATCCTAATGAATAAAAGACATTTTTAAAACAAACATTGTGTATATAGGTGTTTTGAAAAAATAACATGAATTTCACAACAGCATTTGAGGGAAAGGAAAAAAGAATACCCCATCGTAGTATCCTAAGCTTTGAAAAATGGTAAATATTTGAGTGCTGTGGTTTTACTTCTGGCAAGCCGCAGACAGGTGTGTGAAATTATGTAGAACTGTGAGGACCCAAGTCTTTATTCAAACCAGCCTCTTGCTAGAATAAAAGAATTATTTGTGGAGAGGTATTCAAGAACTACATTGCTGTAAAAAGGAACTCATATGGCCTCGTGACTTAAAACATTGCTTGCAAAACTTGCAGACCCTGCTGTTCTGAGACAGAAAACTCTAAGATCAGTTTGAGTAACTTTCAGAGCAAACAGAGAGAGAGTAGAATGTAGTTATGGCAGGTGTTCCACAAAACTTTCAGAGACTTCAGAGAAAACAAAATTGCATCTATGTCCTATCTAAACATTAGAGAAAAAACTTTCCAAAGACACAGATATTACTTGGGCACCCAATTTCCCCACACGTATTTTCTGAAGCAGCTTCTGCTTTGCCTGGTTGTATACAATACAGGTAGGTAGCAAAGGTTCAGGCTCAGCTGTCACAATCTCTTTAGCAAAAATATAAAGGTTTACTGAACTTGAAACTATAAAGCACTGCAGCTTTGGGTATCAAATTAGCAGGCAGCATGAGCATATTATTTAAAAGTTCTTCTGTATTGCTGGAGAAATGTAACCTTTCTCTGGAAGATTGTTTTGGAATTTTAGACCCATCTCTGCAGTCAGTTCCCTGGCAGCCATTTAACCCCCCATCCCTCCCAGGTGTTGTGAAGGAACATGACAGTTGGCATGAAACAAGTGCTCCCCTCCCACACAGGCCTTGCAGTCCCACACAGAGAGGCAACTACTCTTTCAAATTTTACTCTTGAGAGGGAGAAAGACAGTGAAAGAGGGAAAATCTCCCAGAACAGTCAGTCATTGGGCAGAAAAGGCTGAAGTTCCACCACCTCCTCTACCTCACTCAGTAATTGCAGGGAAGTACAATAGTTGCAAACTGTAAACCTGGGTGTATGATAAACCTCCTTTGTGATATTACCTGCTCCTTAAGGCCAGATTTTACAAATGGATTTGTGAGATTAGAGCCCTGCATCTGCACAAGCCATATTGACTTCAGTTTTGAAGTGTTTAAAGGAACTCCTGTGCTACTTGATCTTCATGCTGGTCTGTTGTATCAGAGCAAGTTTCCCATGCAGTGTGGAATGCAAATGTGATAAGATGTATATTTTTCCTGTAGTGCCACCAAAAATTGTTTTTATTCATACTGTCACTAAAATGATTTTGAACAGGGAGAGATCAGAAAAGTCAAAGGCATTGGGAGAATTATTTGAAAAGGAAATGACCTTTCCTTACCCCCTACAGTGACTTTCAATAACCTAGTGATTCTAATTTATCCTGAAAATAGTTGTCCTGGTAATCTAGAAGATGTGCCACAGAAAACGCCTGGTAAAATAGAGTACAGCACACCATAATGTCTTTTTTCCTTAATACAGAAAAAAAAAGGAATAAAAAGGCTGTTAGTTCTTTTCATAATCCACCCCTTCTGAAACATTTCCTTCATCTTTAAACTCTGCTTTCCAGATGACTTTAAGCAACTGTTACTTTACAGCACATCGCAAATTATATTAAGAAAGCATAATTCCAAACCAGTCCGATTACTCTGATTAAACAGAGAGCCATGTCAAAAAGGTAGCCTTTTTATATAATAAAAATGGTGATAATAGACAAGTCTCATCAGTCAAAAGGCTTTATTACTGTCTACTGTAGAAAAACGGTTTTGCTGCTACTGAATGATATATCCCTAGCTAGTCACAATATACCTCATTTCCTGCTTAGATAACAGAAGATACTAAGATAAAGTGTGAAAGGAATAAGGAGCTGTGTGATATAGATATATGGAAGAATAAAAAATGTTATAACAGTAAAAATGAAACTCTACTTTAAACTTGTTTGAACCAAGTTTCAAAAGAGAAAACAAAGATCCCCAAGTTTCTGTGCTTACTTTGGATAGGACAGACTTGCTAATAAATCCAGGACCAAATAGGACAGAAGAAAAGACTGTTTACAGACTAAAATACACTAAGACGTTCGCAGCACCTGGCACAGCTTAAAACTAAATTGTGTTATCTTACTGTAGGTTCAGAAAACTGTCTTGAACAGAAGCTGAGAACACCTCGTCGACGATGTCAGCAGCCCAAAATGCTGAATAGCCCTGAGGACAACATGTACTATAACCAGTTAAATGTGAGTTCAAAGTGGCAATAAAGCTGTTTTACTGGCTTTGTTTCCAGTTAATAATTCTGTTATTAATACCTGTTTCAGCCCCTCCAGCCCCACCCCCACGTTCTTCTGCTCTCGTCTTGAACATGTGCTTATGCTCTTTATCTGTTGCTTTCATGTCAGGATGTCTGCCTTCACGGTGAATAATTGATGTGGTTTATCAAAGACGAGCAAGATGCATGCTTCATCAGGCTCACTTGAGCCCTTTGATCAAAAAAATTATGCTGTGACTTCTGATATTATCAGCATCTGCTTGCATTCAACACAAAATCACTTTGAATTAAAAATTAACGACTTGCTGCTTTGCTTTGACTGCGTGTTCTTGGCCCTCTCCACAGGGAACTCTAGAATATCAAGGGAGCAAGAGGAAGCCAAGAAAACTTGGGTAAATATCTATCTTCTTAGTTCTAAGCAACTGTAAACAGAAGAAGTCCTTTGTGATATTACAGAATATGCAAAACTTTCTAGAGATGTTTCTAAAAATAAACAATTAACATATTTCTGTGCGTTGACATTGGACATTTACTGCAGAAGCAAATTTAAAACTTGTGTGTACTGCTGTCTGCAGACACTAGAACTGATTCTTACAAAATATACTCCCCAGCTCTCTCAGAGTGCTACTAAAAAAAAAAAAAAAGCTTTCTTCATGTTTTTAAATGCATTTAGCACTAGTGAAAGGTGTAAGATGAAAGGTGTTGAAACTGAAGTTCTCTGACCTAGAACGTGGACAGAAGCCCTGCCAGCTTTGCAGCAGCACACTCACAATGGGCTTCAGCCCTCCTGGGGATGCATGTTTTAAGAACTGACAGAGAGGCCGCTCAGCCCAAAAGGGAGTTGCTCCTTCTCAGATGAACTGAGTCAGTTCTCAATGTCACATGAGCAGCTATCACCTGGCGATAGGTAGAAATCACTGAAAACAATTTACAAAAGCCAGGCTGGCTACTATACAGTTGCCAAAATATTTCTTTGACTGGTCACATGGACCAGAGAGAACTGATGGATGTTTGGTCTCCCAAATGCATTCACTCCAAAAATACACAAGAATTTTCTGTATTATTTCCTCTGTTTTTAATTAATCTTCTGAATATAACTGTAAGAACAGGAGATCTTTGAGTCAAGGTTAAAGACCAAAATTTTGCATGACTGTGAGAGATTTGATTTAGTTTGTCTCCCTCCCCTAGTTTAAAAAAGTCTGTATTCCTGCTCAGGGGATAAAAACACTAACATGGGACTGCAGTGCTCATTGTACATCATAGGAAAATGAAAGCCCCTAGCTGTCAATAGGGCTTTCCCCAAAACTTGGTGACGTGGTCTTTGGCTTGTATTCACAGCAAACCATCAGCTGAAATACATTCCCAAAATCATACCCTACTAGTGGAACGTATACAGACAAAAAAGCTACATTGCTCAAATGAAATGTCCTTTTAATGCAAATAGTTGGTCTGTCATTCTGTACATTGCATTTCACTGATCCTTAGAACCATTCAGAGTCTAATAATAAAAAAGCAATAGCAAAGTAAAAGTATGTATAAAAGCTATATCTTTCTCATCAAATCATCCCATTTTTTTTCTTTCTTGTGTTCACACTCTTCATTTTCAGCTCCACGGAGAAGTATCTATTTCTGAAGATATTGACAGAATTCATTTTTTAACTTAATAAATGTTGTTTGTTTTCTTTCAAGCCAAATCAAAGTGCTGGATGGAGAGGATGAGTATTACAAATCATTGTCAGCTGTTGAATCTATCCCTGAAGATGACAGCTTTCTCAGTTCCCCATCTCCTCCTTCTTCAAGGGGTGTGTCTTTTGCTCAAAGCTGAACCTCAGTTACTCTATTGACTAACACTGGTAAGAGTACTTTCATGCTGGTAATATCTTCCAATTAACTTTGTGCACATGTGTTTATATACTATACTAAAAAATACAGTTTCAGATAGTAACTTTATTCCACTAATTTAGACCTGGTATTGCAGCTGTAAGTTGTCCCATTTAGCTGTATTTCTATAAGCGATTCCAGTACAGGGGAGCAGCACTACCTGTCTGTGTTGGTGTTGGTAACAGCCATGTTTCTTTAGCAGCATGTTAGTTTATACAGTTCCGATCCCTTCTTCCCAGCTACCCCCGGCTGCTGTTTCCCACCCTGTGCCATCCCTTCTGTTGTGCTGGCACAACTGCTGGTAGAGCTGTGTGAAAAATAAGATCAAGGAACTGAACTGAATTAAAAGAACTCTGTACTAAAAATTTTCGTTTGGGGTCATAGTGAAAATGTTTTGTATTTCATTAGACTGATACTAAACATTATCCTTTTTAACTTTCTGTACTGTGTATGGCTTTTAACACTACAAAAACTTGCAGAGTAAAATCATCTAAAATAATAATTGTGTCTCAATTTACCTTGTAAATATTTTTCTTATAAAGTATTAGTTTACCATAAGTCTAACTTGAAGAATTAGTTTAACTATAAGAAGCAAAACAATTTTAAAGCTAACGTTTCACACACTGCTTCATATAGACCTTGTGACCGAAACCATTGTTATGACTGCTTATTCTTGTTATCCATGCAAGTATTTAATTTCTTTCTTAACTTGTATCTGTGGGCTCCAGTGATTCCTACATTTCCACAGCTTCTTTCTATGTAGCAGGAAAAAAAATGTCACCTGCAGATTTTTCTGGTTGTTTTTCACTTTCTTTCCAAATCCTTAGTGAAACAATATGTAACTTCCTATGGAACGCTGAGATGCTTTGCTGGTAACCATTTCCATGACAGAAGCTGACTATTTAATCTTATTCTTTACTTTCTGTTTCTGAGCCACAGTTTTGATCTGTGACAATTCTTTGCTTCTTTTCCATACAAGCTCTTGTCAAAAACTTTTGGAAATAAAATGTTCACATGTGTACTGCCTTATAAATTTGCTCAAAATTATTCATTTCTTTTTTTTTTTTTTTTTGAGAAACCATGCTGATGAAATCATGTATTATATATACCTGATGCATTATATGTATTATATAGAGTTAATTATGATGCTTGTTTGTATCTCCCCCTCAATGGGTTTAGCCTGATCTGTGCTAACAAACCTTCTTCCTTGTCGAGGTGCAGTTCACCCCTGGTCCTTAAGCTACAGAATTTCTTACTGTCAGGGTTCACTGTCACTGTTTTTTGACAACAGGACAAGGAGAGATGGCATGGGAAATGAGACCCAAGCACAGTCAGGGCATCCCTAAGCCAGGGTAGGGTTTGAAAGGACAAAAGGTAATGAAGTAGATAGTTCAGCAAGAGCTTTGTGTCTCCTAATAAACACAGAAATTAAGTCAGGCAGGGCAGATGAGGATGAGAGGAGGATTCAGCTGTTCCAGGAAGAACAATCCTTCACTCATTCTTCACTCAAAATGTGATGAAAGGTTGGAACTAAACGTTAAAATTCTGCTAGAGATTGAAGTCCTTGAGTTCATTCCTCATTCTCCTCTGCTGTACATCTGGGTGTGGACTTTAGAGCCTTTACAATTTAGGGACTCCTTTAACAACAGAGGATGAGTGAGTAGCTGCAGATGAATTAATGTTATGAGAAAATGCAGTGCAAATATGAATGGCAATTGATATGAAAGCATGTGTGCAGATCAGTTTATTTACATTTTGTCAAAAAGTAACAAGAATGAGTATTTGTTATAACACTTCATCAAAAATAACATGTAACTTTTATTTTCCTACACGATGTATAAATTCTCCATTAATTTGTAACATGTCTGGATGGAAAAAATAACATTATTTTAAAAGAGTCAAATGACTTACTCCATTCTCATATTGGCATTATTAGGCACAGAGTTCTAGTCGTTGTAGTGTGAGGAGTTCTAGTAATATCGATGCTTTGTGGTTCCATTCTTCCTTCTGGAAATCTATTTGAGAAAATATGCAATTCACGTAAGTCTTATGCATAGTTAGAGTGTATAAATTGTTTCGGTTAAATGATTGTGAGGCTTCCAGTCAGGTATTATATCACCTCTCTGAAAACCAAGAGTTTACCTTACACTGAGTATTATGTCGCTCTGCGTAGTTCTATTAATTTCATAAAAAAATAAGGAAAAGTGAAAAATAATACATAATTGAGTGAAGCACTTAAGCCAAAGCTTAAATCAATGAAATTTCAGCACATGATTAAGTGCTTTGCTGAATGGGGGCCCAAGTTAACAAGACAAGCTTCAGAACATCAAATAGCAAAGCACAAGCAAAATGCAAACACTCCCTAAATACATTCCTTAGGTTTCTTCTTTTTTCTTCCTCCCAATTGTTAAGCTTGTATCAATCTCAGGCATCAGAAATGGACTTCAAAGAGATTTTAAAGAGTCTTTAATTGCATGGAAAGGGTAAAATACAGTATTTTCCATGTTATATGCAATACCACTATCTACATCTGCTACAATTTTTCAAATTAGTTTGATGTTACCAATATTTTTATACTGAAGTTACTATCTAAAAGTTGCTGTTGAGTAGTGTGTTTTCATTCTTGCTACTTCTTGGCTAAAAGCTGTGCCTAAATCTGGTGTGTGCGTTTCATTATTTCATAACTTATCCTCCTTTCCTCATTCGTTTTTGATCAATTCACTTTACCCTCACCAGATAATCCCTGTGAGGTGGCCTTCTCTCATCCTCATTTTAGAGCACATATATGTCTTTGGATTATTAAAGGCTGAATCCTCAGCTTGCTGTAGAGCCATGCAGTCACATTAAAACTGGACAAAGGGTTGAACTTCTGTTCCCATGTTGATAGATGTATTTGTTTGAGTTGATTGATTTGTGCATGAGAAGGAGTACAGGAGATATATCAGTGTGATGATCATGGTCAGTGGGAGCGTATCACCATGAATTACTTAGATTTTCTCATTTGGTTTTGATATCATTGAAGTATTATTCTGATTTATTTCAAGTGTATTATCCTGAAATATTAATGTATTTTGCCTAATAGTTCATAACATATCCTATTCTTAATATTTTATAAAAGTAAAGAGTTTAAATCCTGTTAGGAAGAAGAAAATTTCTTAGACAATGTGTAATGTATTAAACCGTTTTCAGCAGATGTGAGAGAAAAGGGTGAAGCTCAACAAGGGATTTTAGTAGATTTCTTCAGTAGACCTTAATGGCACTAGAAACCGGTTCTTGCTGAGGACAATTTATTCCTTTCAGTTATGGCAGCTTAAAAACCTCTCTGTGCCAACAAAATTCAGGCAGGGAGCTTTTGCAGATTAGCCCCTTTCATTTGGTAATTTTAAACTTGCTTCTCACTTAAACATTTACATCACTTTAGTAACATAAAGGGACCTTAGAATAGAAGTAAATTGCAGCCATCTTAAATTTGCCCCCACTGTGACCTCCCTCACCCATACACTGTAAGAGTGGTGGAAAGGGCTTTTGTTCACTGAAGGTCTTTTAAGTGGCCCCTATCAGGCCATCCAAGGATGTTGTTACTTAGAAGCTTATAAAATATGGCTATAAATAATATAAAGCTAAAGGCTTTGCTAAATCCAATCAGACTAAAAGTTGATGGTAATTTTGGTGGTAACAATCAAAACCAATTTTTTTGGTGGTACGTATAGAAAGTAACCCACACTGGACAACTACAAAGTCATATTCCTGGAAGGAAAATTTCTTCCTAATAGTAGGCAACTGTTATCTTATCTTGTTTTGCATAGTTGCTAATATAAACATAATGCTTATGTAATTAATATACTTATATGATATTTTTATGTGTGTTGTATAACTGTCAGTGTTTTTACTTCCAAGCAATTGTCCCATTGTGTTTTAATTCCATTAAGTTCCTGACTTCTGGTACACTGTGGTACTAAACACTATACACAGCACACATATGCACACAAACACAAAGCAGATTTTTTGTTCCAGTTTTAAACAAAAGGAATGTATTTAAACATAGTCCTTTTATATTGAGTTGGAAACCTTCTGACTTGTTCTGTCAGAGGGTAAAAGGGAGCTACCAATTTACTTTCTTTGTACTGCTTTTCACATACCCCTGGTGCACTTCTCATTCAATATAAATGGCTCCACGCTAAAAGATTTGTAAGGAATCTCCTAGTGTTGCTATTTTCTATGTTTAGATCCCTTCAATTTTCTCTATACTTTATTTAAAGGTAGTCTTGACTGGATAATCTCTAACCTTCATTGTTGTAACCAACATCCATTAGTGTGAAGGAATATTTTTGTATTCATAGCTTCTGTCATCATGAAGAACAGGTATGCTTTTACATATAGAAGATATTAAAAATTAAAAACAAATAAGAAATTGAAGATATGTAGTGTCTTTAGGTCTATTCTTACTTGATATTGAATTCAATAAACAGTAGGAAAACAGGATGAGTTTCATATTTGTTATGTGGTTATCTCTGATAGTGCAAGACGTATGCCGAAAGCCTGCAGTTTTAATACACAATGATCTCTCTTCAGTATCCATTGATCTTTGCTTGATTTCAGGCATATGAGGACAGTTGATCAAATCTCACGTTTTAGAACTCAGGTCCGTCACTGTAAGCAGAGTTTCTTCACAAGTTTCTTCTTTAGTGAAAGTTAGGAAATACATAATTTGGGAAAAAGTTATATGATTACACAGAGAGGGAGTAAGAACGTAGTTTTGTAGTGGAAGGAAATGACTGGAAGTCAAGACATCTGGATAGTACTACTAGCTATTTTACACCAAATTTAAATTGATATAAAATATGATTTAAGTCCCAGTTTTCAAATTTCACCTTTTTAAAAAAAAAAAACAGTAATGTTATGATTGAATAATTTTTCCCCTCCTTTTGTAAAAATTGTAATTGTATTGGGGTATTGCTTTTTTATTGTAAAACAGTTAGCAATGAGATAAATAATTGAGGTCTACCATATTCTTATTTCTCCTTCCTTTTTGTTTTTTTTCCCAAAAGGGAAGGAGAATTTTGAGAGGAAACCAAGCTCTGGTATTTTTAAATGTCTTCTGGTTAACCAGATGCAAATAGTATATACAATTAAAAATAAAGCCATATGGCACGAAAGTATCACCCTGTAAGAAACAGTAAGTAGTTCTAGTACTGATATGTGCGCAAGACGTGGCATGCAATAAACTCTAACTCTTGACAACAAAATATGAGAAATAATATCAGTTTTCTTGTTAAGATAAGAAATAAGTTTCATTAATGTGCCTTTTCTTTAAGACTGTTCACCATGGCAGGAGTCGTAGCAGAATGCTTAGTTAACAGAAAATGTTTCTGCTTGACAGCAAAGCAGGACTCCCAGATTGACAAAAGTAGCACAGGATGCTATGAAAAACAAAGGCTGGGGAGCA